AGAACCTTTGGTTCTTCTGTGTCCCACGGACAAACATCTGCCCGGGTGCTGTCTTGCTTTTTGAGAACCTTTGGTTCTTCTGTGTCCCATGGACAAACATCTGCTGTGTCTTGTCTTACATGACTGTCAGATATTTTGTGGGTCTCTGGCTTTCCTGACTCTTGTCCTGTAATTTCCCATGGACAAACATTTGTTTGTATTTCCAGCCCTTGTGATGCCATCTTGGTAGCTGCATTTCCTTCAGGGGGCTCAGTGTCCCAGGGACATACATTTACTCTTGTGTTGTCTTTTCCCTCAGTCTGAATGAGTGCATCTGTACCAGCTTTCAAAGCTGAGACGCCCTCTTGTGAGTCTCCTGGTCCGTCTTGGGTTCCTGTTTCCCAGGGACAAACATCTACCTTGATGGTCATCTGTGAAGTTGAGTCTGTGTTTGTTGACTCTGCACTTCCCTCATCCCAGGGACAAATAACTTCCACAATTTTAGGAGGATCAGGGAATTCCCATGGACAACTGTCCGATGTCTTGGTCACTTGTTTACCCCAATCATGAAGAGCTGATTTTGTTTCCAGTGGTTGCTCATTATTTACCATTTCTTTTGATGCACCAGGATACGTGGCAGGTTTCATCACCTCTTGTTGATTGGGAACTGTCAACGTTCCCTTGGTCTCCAAAGGATTTAGATTTTCATATACAACTTCAGTCTTGTCCTGAATATCCCAAGGACAAATATTAACATATTCATTATCTTGTCTTACTGAGGGTTGGGGAGTTTCTGCCGTCTCCCACGGACATATATCTGCTGCAGGTTTTAAAGACTGTTGTCTCTGTGAATCTTTGGACAGAGTAGCATGAGAAACAACTGGAATATCTGCAGATTCCCAAGGACGCACTTCCCCACGACCACTTCCTTGTCTTCTCACATTCCCTTGCTCTTGCGATTCCCATGGACAAACATTTGATACTTCAGATACCTGTGATTCCCAGGGGCAGACATCTGCTTTAATGCTCTGCTGCTTCTTTGGTCCTTCTTGCTGCAAAGTACCAGCTCCCTCCCATGGACACACATCTGCATGAGAAACATTACGGACCGGTGTAATTCTATAACTCCCTCTTCTGCGAGTTGAAGGAGTTCTTGAGCTGCTAGCAGTGTCCCAGGAACTGATACTACTACGTTTGCTGTTCTGCCTCGATAGAAACACATTATCATAGGTTCCGTCTTTTTGCATATCATCTATGTCCCATGGGTACACAGCAGATTTTACAATCACAAACTTTCTTGGGCTTCTGTCCGAGGAATCCCCAGAGGACAGCCTGATTGCGTTCTGCTTTACAAGACATGGTTTTCCTTCTGATGTTGTCATACTCCTTTTCTGCAGTGACCTCTTTTCCATGCTTGGGCGCCTGCTAGATGTTTGTGATCTCGGTGTTGTAGAAGCACTTTCCTGGCTTTTTTGTGAGACAGAATCCTCTCGATTGAAATTTCCGTCCTTACTGGATCTGCTTCCTGCATCCATGGACCCCATGACTGATTTCACAGAGAGCCACTTACTGGTGGTGGTGCGGAAGGAAAAGACGCGCTGATCTTTGGTGACCTTTGGTCTTGGAGACCCTGGCGCGCTTGCAGAAACGGGAGCTTGTGGTTTGGGCGACTCAGTTTCACCTTCAAGTCTTTTGTCCTCAGAAGGAGTCTTTTGGACGGGTGGTAAATGGTCCCAGGGACAGACAAGTGCCTGTGGAGATGCTGGCCTTTCCTCATTGTCCTCAGAGTTTGCATAGGTGACATGCTTCTGATTCCTATCGCCTGTTGGTTCTTGCTCCACGTCCCAAGGACAGACCTCAGCCTTGTCAAAGGACTCTGACTGTAGAGCGCTCCTGGTCTGGTCACTGATGGAAATGCTCTGCCGGGACCTTGTCAGCACTGTGCTGGCTCTGTTGACCTTTGGTATATTTTCCATAGAATGTGCGGTAGTGGAGGTGAGACTCCAGGACTTATGGAGTCTAGTGTGATCAGGATGCAGGAGATTGATATCAATAGTCAGATTCTGGGCGCTGGCGGACTTACAGACCCCTGGTGGAATATCTAAGGAGTCTGTCTGAGATCTCTGGGAGGGTGTCTTCACAACGTGGGCCTTTAACATCGAGTCACGCTTGGAAGAGTCTCGTTCTCGGACATAGTGATGTTCACTTTGGGACTTGCGCATAGACGGCGATGGTGATGGAGATTTCATAGAACTTTTGTAACTGATACTGACGGTATCTGGGGTCCGCCTGGAATAGTCAGACATGTTCACAGTTCTACTGTGGAAGGATCCATCTTTCTCCTCGCGGCTGCACTGTCGGCTCATGGATTCTGGGATCTCAGCGATGCGTTTAATAATGGACCTCCCAAGTGCACATCTAGAACTCCGCTTCTTTGAGAGATGGGGGTTGTTTGCGGTCATCTTCTTCGTCTTGTGGACTTCTAACTGGGCATATAACTTCTTCAGTTCATCCTGGGGCATGTGAAGAAGGGTGGGGGTTGATGACAGGATTGAGGAGATGGTTGAAATGATTGAGAAGAGGAAAAGACAAGGACAGTGACAAGTCAGAGGAAAGGTAGAAGACACGTTTTCATTTAAGAACACAGTTGAGGATGAGAAAAGGAGAAAGGTTGGAGAAAGGTCATACAACATTCTACTGCTGTTTTAGAATTTAGTCATCATACATTTAAAATCTGTTTAAGTGAGTCATGGTTAAAATGAGCTTTTATTTTTTCTTATTTAAATGTGACCTTTGGAATTTCTTCCACTGTTTGTAAATTATGTCCCAATGCAAAGTGATAACATCGGTCTGAAGGGAAAAGAGAGTTTACCCGAAAGTCTTCTGGGTCGACACTGTGCTCACTCCAAGCAGAGTGAAAACTGCTGTTCAGGTACGAGCCAGAGCGCCGCAGGTCCACTTCATCTTCATACACCTCTGCTGCGATCTCCTCCCTCCCCGGCTTGGACACGTGAAGAAACTGAGGAACAAACGTAGGCAAAGAATTCATATGTAAACACTTTATAACAAAATACTTTGAGTGTGTTAACGTGATCATCCCAGTAACTGGTTTTGACCCAAACAATGTCAGCCTCAAAAATGTCTAGAAAAGCCGCCACGATAACCAAAAGCATATCTCACTAACAAGAGCTGAAGCTAACAAATGTCTGTTAAGTGTGATGTTTTAAAATCACCTCTGCACGTACAATAAACCTTGACTGTTAGCAATGCAGCTATTATCTCTGGCACCTTTATCTCAGCAAAGAATAGATTAACTCTAGAAACCCGCTGAGTACCTTGGGAATGAAGAGCAGGGCGAGCGTCACAGTGATGGTGACATGAGTGTGTGTGAAGGAGAGCAGCAGCATCCAGTCAGGATGGAGAGAGGGGAAGGTGAACCTGAGGGAGATGGAGAGAAGAAGAAATCAGTTCACATCAGCTGCTTGTTGCACATGTGGTCGCTCACGTTGTCGCTGCTCGCTGTTTACCGCAACAGGTGGAACATGGAGGAGAGGAGCAGCTCGTTGTGGATGGCGATGCCCATGTAGCGAGGCTCGTGGAAGGCCGAGGGCACCGGCCTGACGGCGGTCCACAGGGAGCTCCCCCAGCACAGGAACAGAAGCTCAGCTGAGGCAGAAGAAAAGCTCAGTTTGACAGTTTGTGATATTTTGTATCCTGTCTGTTTATCTGTTAGATTTCATACGAGACGGATCGGTAATAACTGCTCTGAGCCTCTGTCTGCTGCCACTCACCCACAGCCATCATGTAGTCCCAGCGGTCCAGGTAACACAAGTTGAAGCCCTGTCCGTCTGTCGTGTTGGTCGTGACGAACACCGGGATGTTCCTGTCGCGGTTCTGGAGGACGCCCACCGTCCACGCACACAGGAACCAGCTGACCGTCATCAGCATCACTCCCAGAATCCTCAGCAGGTGGAGGCTGGACATGTAGGGCACCCTCTGGGCCGTGCGTGAGAGGAACACCTTCAGCACCCTGGACAGAGGCGAGAGTAACAGTTAAAGTGTTGGTGAACGAAGTAAAAAAAAAAACTCAGATTATCTTTTAATACTTAAATGATCGAATCATCTCATCACAGCTAAAACTCATTTATTTCATGTCTATTTAAATCCACTTTATCGATTTATCTTTACATTTTCATCATTTTCTTCTCATGTGCATTAGCTGCACATTGTTTTCTTTAAATTCATAGTTTTGAATCATTGTACAGCTTCTGTTTTTGGATTTGAATTCTGAAATCTGATTATTTCTACCCTAGTAATAGGTTTTAATTGACTGACAGTTGACTTTCGGGGTTTTAAATTGAAATATCTTAACGCACCTGTACATCTTCAGAGTGACGATGCCATAGACGATGGAGAAGCCGAGCATTCGGACCCAGCGGAGCAGGATACACCTGAAGGTGCTCGGCTTGAAGTAAAGGATGAAAACCTGCAGGACGGAGAAAAGCACTCGACTCTGTAAGTCCATCTACAGCAGACGATCTCAGCTGACTACAAGTTTAAAAATTGTGATATTTTCACCCTCAGAAACGTGTATTTGCAGTATTATGTCACATCACAGTGAAAACGTCTTCACATCATCATTTGTTTAAAAATGTGTCTTATCTCATTGATTCTTGTCTAAGTTGTTCATTAGTTGTTCTTTGAGTCCAATTTAAAGATCGTATCGTCTCACACTCAACAACAGGTCGTACCCTCGTCTCTGTTCAGTGTGTAAAGGCAGAGCGGGCAACGGTAATCCAGGAATTAAAGCTCATTCTGCTGTGGCAGTCGGTGTCAGTCACTCTGGATAAGAGCATCAGCTAAAGCCTCAAATGTGAACGCAAATTCACATCATTGTGCTCAGACCACTCATGAAGGATAAAGTCCTCAGAGTGAAACATGAATAGAGTCAGAGATGACCTGCAGAGGACGGTGGGTTTGATCAGTGGGAACTGACGTCTCAGGGACGGACGGAGCTGCTCCTCAAGTCATTGGACTGGTCAGAGGAGAGCTGACCCGGCCTATGAAGACCACCTCCTGGACGGTCTGGACCTCAGGAGATTTCCAAGAGAGCATTCTATCCTCTTGCTTTTTATTTTGAAATATTTACTTTTATTTCCGTGTCCTCTCTTCATTCATCAAAAAACCAAACGAAGGAGATTATGTTTTTCGCTAAATGTGAGATGTCTAACACAACAGTCCTGCAGTAAATCCTCCTGGAACGAAGACAGAAATCTGTCGTATGATCATTTGAGGGTTTATAGTTTGTGACCTATTCTAATAAAGCGTCGGATCAGGACTTCTTTCTTTCATATGTCGAGATTGGCTGTTAGCCATGCAGGAGGTATGTTCTCCCTGAGCGCCGCTCTATTTTGGGTTTTAATCTGAAGGTGAACTGCAGCCCACATATCTATCTGTAGTTCTGAAGGTCAGAGGTCGCTCTCTCATCTCAGCGAGGGGTCAGATGTGGTTTGATCTACAAATAGTCGTTTGTGCACATGGAGGACGGTCACGGAGATAAAATGGCTGCTCTCATTTTCTGTCCAGACAAAACTGATCCGACCCGTCTCACCCAGAGTCTTTGAGAAGCTGAAGCTCAAGCTCACCGCTCTTGTCCACATGACAATCAGGTTACTCATATTTCTTTGGCTCTCCTCTAATCGTGTCGTCACTCATTGGTTTGCGAGCTGCTGTTTTCAAGCCTCAGTTTGACATTTTGTGCAGCGCCAGCTTGGTTTTTTCAAACCAGAAGAGACCATATTTTCAGGAGCAGGGGGAGGAGCAGGGGGAGGAGCAGGGGATGGAGCGTGACTGAGCTCGAGGACAGAGGAGGAGATCCCTGAGGATAATTCTCAGAACTCTAGTTTTTCTTCCACTGGTCATGAAAAATATCAACATTCAAAGTTAAACCTTGACAATTCTCACATAGTGAAACATGGAACCAGTGTGTGGTGAAGAGGAGCAGAGACCCGCCCATGTTCATACATCTTCATACATGTTCATACGTGTTCATACGTGTTCATCCCTTTAGAAGTAATCACTCATCAATAATCTCCCTCAGCGTCAGCAGGGATCAGGTCACATCGACTGACACTTTGAGATAAATGGACAAAAAGTCACGACCGACCAACGTAATCATTCTTTAATTGGTTCAATGAATCGAAAAACTGATTGACGTTTGGAGAAGTGTTGACTGCCCCCCCCCCCTTCCACTTATGAACACGCCCTCACCCCATTCACCCCCCCACAAATCGTCCATTATCATATAATCCTTGGCGCCGTGCAGTGATCTGTAAAGAGCTCTAATCTGCCACACTCTCAGCCGACCGCCTCGGTCACACACTCACCGGGAAGTAGAGGAGCAGAGAGCCGAACAAGATCATCTCCAGCAGGAGGAGGCCGGACGCTCGGATCCTCTGCGGAGAGAAGGAGGAGCAAAACAAGATGGGAGATGAGGAGGTTAAAGGACCAAGTTCACGTTCTGAACGTCACTGCCGACCGTATGAGAGATTTTACATCTCAGGCATCGTCCCATCTTAGAGAGAGAACCACTGAGAGTCCACTTTTAGAACGAGCGACGAGATGAATCATGAACATAAAACATTTGATTGAGAGACAAAAATAATATTGGAGAAGCTACAGATCCCATAAACCGATGCAGAGCGAGTTCACTTCTTCAACTAAACCTTGAAGTGATTTATCCTCCGAGGGGAAATCATGGTTGCCTTCAAAGTTATGTAAAGCTGAAGCATCCGTCAGTAAAGTTTCACTAAGATGTCCATGGTGACAGCGATGTCACTCTTACATCTGAGGATTGTGGGTAGTGTAGTTCTCTTGGACATCATGAATAAAAAGATTAAAACACAGTAGAAATCACACAGAACATTGTTTCACAATCTCACAGCTTGTGGTGAGTCTACCTCGGATGGTTAAAATATTATTAAAATATCATTGAAAGACTAAATGAATTTGATCAAATCATTCACGAATCAAAATGATATTTCTTCCTAAATAAACACAGCTGAAGTTTAAGATTCCAACGCGATGCCTCACGGCTCTTTGGCTCCATCCCTATTGTGGCTCCGCCGAGCCAACAGCTCTGACTCACCCGGTTTCGACGATGCCTGTAGGCCGCCAGCATGCTGACGAAGATGAGGAGCATGAAGACCCCCTGGATGGCCAGCACAGCGGCCCTGAGAAGCCAGTCCTCCTGCACCCAGCAGGGGGTGCCATCCTCACAGCTCTTACAGCCCGGCCAGCACGGGAGACAGATGGGCATGTTCGGGTAACACATATCGCCGCCTTCACTCCGGTTCACAGGGCCGCCATCTGCATCACACAGACACATGCGTCTACACCTACACAAACCCACGTGAGGGACTCGTACATGTGACTTCAAACTCCTCTGCCTGAATTGAGTCTGGGTTTGATTCCCAAATGTTCACAAGAGCAGTGAAGAATTCTGTCCACGTTACTGCACGAGTGATTCCAGCTCGAGACGTTTATAGAGACATGACAGCTCCAAAACATCTGGACTGCCCCCTGGTGGCTGGCTGCGGTATACGACATAAACCCCACCTCATCCATGTTAGTAGATGGGACGATGGGATGTTTGTCTGGGTGTTTCTGATCAGTTTGGTTTGAATCAGTTATTTGATGATATAAAATCAGGCTGAGACGTCATGATTGACAGCTGAGACTCGCTCCTGATTGGTTGGATGTATCGGTCGGACCTCAATGCTTCTGAACACGAGTTAAAAAAAGACGATGAAAACTTCTTGTTGGATTCAACCTCAGTGATTCACTCACCTGAGTCCAGAGGAATTAGCTCCGGGTTGTAGAAGCCCTCTTGACAGCGGCAGCAGTACTGACCCAGGCGAAAGCCACGGCCTGGTACTGGTACACACTGCAAACGAGAAACACAAACATTCAAGCTTTTTTTCTGGAATGTTTTAAGTTTATTATATTTTCCTTTGAGTAGTGAAAACATTAAGAACCAATAGAAATGTTCCAACAGTTTGATTGTTTGTATTTGGGTGTGATATGGTTTTTAAATGCCTTGCTCATAATCCACTCCTCTGACTTTTATTTTCACTTTGACAGTTTCAGCCTCAGCTGCGATGCCTCAGGTGGAGTCGTCATCATGGAGACAGCGTCTCAGGTAAACACCCGAAACAAAACTAAAAAAGTTTCCATGTATTTAATGTTGGAAAGTCAATCAAATCACAACAAAGAAACACAAAATGGCTCCATGGATGTAAAATTACTAAGAGAACAGAGGAAAAAAACCCTAATACAAAGCGACGAGAGGACACAAAACAACTGCAGAGGTTTAAAAACAGAACGACTCTCCTGAGAATTAGAACTAACAACAACACAAGGCAGTAGATGAACAAAGAGACAGAAAACATATGTACAACCACAAAGAGATGGAGAGAGACACACAACAAACACACAACAGAGTGAATACAAACGGTTGTGTCTTTCAGTTTGTAAGAGGCGTGGGAGGAGGAGGGGGGGGTTTGTACGTGTCTACGCTCTGAGTCTGTTTCATAATCATGTTTAAATATAAGGTTCGATGTTTAAATGAAGAGATTAACAGAAAAGGGATTAAAACCAAACAAATGTTGTGTCTCAGGTTGAAATACATTTGAATCATTTTTCTGTTGGTGCTGCGAATGAATGAAGGTCAAAAAACAGGGTCACATTACTCTCTCACTCGATTTCCTACTGATGCTAGTAGTCAGGGCAGTGACACACACACACACACACACACAC